GCGTACAGTCGAACCTGGGACAGAAGAACACACCTCGAGAGCACGAGGCCCTCCGCTGGCCAACACCCACAGAATATCCAAGGGTACCCTCCCCCAAGGGTGCACAGGAGCATCCCACAGGCACGCAGAACATCGGCGTACCCACCCTCCCCGAGCCGACCTCGATCTTCTATCTCGGTTCGACTGTAGCGCAGGGCGGCGGCCCTCTCCTCACACGAGGTGCGCCGCGGGCCGGGTGCAGCTTTTTGGGCACTGCGGGGGCTGGGGTTGCTGCGGAGCAGGCGTGCAGGGCCGCGCCGGGCTCCCTTTGTGCTGGGCACGGGCGCACACGCGACTGTGGGGTTCGCCGAGCGAAGGGCCCAAGCGTGTGCAGCTGCGAACAGAGCGAGGTAGGTGAAAAGAAGGTGGGGCAAGCAAGCGCACTGAGGCGCGGATAGGAAGGACGAGGGGCAACAAGGGCACGGGGGTGCAGGACTGATGAGCGAGCGGGCGCTCAGAGAGTCCTGTCTCCCAGGCGCCCGCAAGATGCAGCTCAGTCGCTCAGCCCAAGGAACGACGGCAACTCCTGGAGGCAGGGCGCACGGGAATCACTGCGACGCGCGCTGGTCGCGCCGAAGGAACTCCACCGACACGCGTGGGTCGTCCGCGGAGGGAGCAAAACACGTTAGGCAATCGGAGGTCAACCTGCTCGAAACTACCCCCCTCAGGCGCCGAATGCGGACCTTCCCACTGGGGCCTTCGGTGGAGCTCCCCGTGGCGCCACGGACCGCGTGAGGGGTGAGCCGAAATAGGTGCGACGCCCGCATGCGCACCTTGCAACTGGGGCCTTCGGTGGAGCTCCCTTTTTTCCAACGAAGCGTGCGGGGAGCTTGCTGAAATTGGCGGCGGGGACGCATGTGGACGCGGCCATCGGGGCCTTCGGTGGAGCTCCCCATGGGCCACGAAGCGCGTGAGGTGTGCCGAATTGGGCGGCGGCACGCATTCGCCCGCAGCAAGTGGGGCCTTCGGTGGAGCTCCCCATGGGACCACGAAGCGCGTGAGAAGTGTGCCGAAATTGGAGGCGTGGACGCATGCGCCCGCAGCAACTGGGGCCTTCGGTGGAGCTCCACATGGGGCCACGAAGCTTGTGAGGAGTGTGCCGAAATTGGAGGCGTGGACGCATGTGGGCGCAACCACTGGGGCCTTCGGTGGAGCGCTAAGGGTGTGCCGAACCTGGCACGCGGAAAGGAGAGGGCGGAGGGGCAGCGGGAGGGAAGGAGACGCGGGGCGCTGCGGATTCAAAACGAGAACCCAACTCAACACAGGATGGCAAAAGGGAAAAACAATAGGAAGTCGGAAGTCTGGGGGCGGGGAGGTGGCAAGAAGGAGTGGTGACATGGGGGGGAGAGAGGCAGGAGGCAGAAAGAAGCAAGCAGAAACACGGAGGAGAAAGGAGGAACCAAGAACGACGAACGGGAAGCGAGGAGGAGCGAGGGAGCCGGGGAGGGATCATCTTGCTCGTGACCCTGCTCCCACGCGAACGGCAACGTCGACTAAGACGACAACGACGACGACGACTGCACCAAGTGATACAGATTTCAATGTTCCAGGCCCTTTTGCGGTGCCGCCCCTACGTTGGATTTGAGCGTCCACCCCATTGCTCGCTCTCCCACCTGTCGGCTACAGGCAGGAGTGATGCTAGTCAAGATTGACCTTCGGTGCGCTGCTTGCAGATCGTTGCGCTCGACGCGACTGAAGGACCTTACGCGTTTGGGTTTGGCCCTCCCGCGCCGCACGAAAGCCGCACACCACACAAAACTATGGCGAAGGGCATCTCTAACGTATAGCCGATTCCAGCTCCCATCCCAACAGATGGTGGGTCCAGCTGTGATCCACCTGCGTGCATACATCTGTATGTGCATGGTCTCGTGCACAAGCGCATCCACGCAAAGTGCATACACTGATGCATTGATGATCTTATGTAACAATGTACTTCAAGCTTATCGGCTCTTGCGTACATGTGCACACGTACATGTTGCACGTGAAAGCGTGCACGCATGACACATACCATATTGCATGCCACTTGTCCACACGCGTACATCTAAACACACAAATATCTATATATATATATATATATGCACACTTGCAAGCATACGTGCGCATGCACATGCACGCGCACACGCCCGCCCGCCCGCCCGCCCGCTCACCCGCCCGCCCCCGCCCCCCTCCCCTCCACTCTTCCCTCCCCCCCGACACGCATAGACGCACACACAACGACACAAAGACCCACGCACAGAAACACGGGCACGTAGACTCACAGACACATAGACACACCTACCCACAGACAGACTCAGGCACACAGACACACACACGCAGATACCCAGACACACACGCACCCACATACACACAGACTCGCAGACACGCAGACACACATATACATAGGCACAGAGACACGCAGACACGCAGCCACACAGACACACCGACACAAAGAAACACGCACAGACGCACACACGCACACACAGACACACAGACACACAGACACGCAGGCACACCCACACACACACACACACGTACACGTATGCACACGCACACAAACACGGGGGCACACACACACAGACACACACAGACACCCAACGACACACACAGACACACAGACACACAGGCACACAGACACACAGGCACAAAGGCACACAGACGCACAGCCACAAAGGCACACACACACGCAGAGACGGACATACACACAGACACACAGAGACACAACGACACAGACACACAGACACGCAGAGACACAGAGGCACAGGGACACAGAGGCACAGACGCACACACAAACAGACACAGAGAGACACATCGACATAGTAACACAGAGGACACAGCGACACATGGACTCTGAGACAACGAGCCACAGAGACACAGAGACAACGAGGCACAGCGACACAGCCAGACACACAGAGAGACACAGAGACACATACACCCAGAACCACAACGACCCAGAGACACCGAGACACAGAGACACACCGACACAGAGCCACCGAGACACAGAGCCACACAGAGACACAGAGACACAAACACACAGAGACACATATACACAGAGACACATCGCCACATACACAGAGGCACAGCGGCACAGACACAGAGGCACAGAGACGCAGAGACACAGCGACACAGAGACACATAGACACAGAGACACAATCACACACACAGACACACCGACACGCACAGACACAGGCACATATACAGACACACACAGACACACCCAGGCACACCCACACACATACACACACTGACACACACGGAGGCACACACAGAGGCACACACACAGAGGCACACACAGAGACACACACAGAAACCCGTATGCACAGAGACACATCGCCACATAGACACAGACACAGCGACGCAGAGAAACTGACACAGAGACACAGAGACACAGGGACACAGAGACACAATAGACACAGAGACACAGACACGCACAGGCACAAACACAGACGCAGACACACACACACAGACACACCCAGGCACACACATACACACACTGACACACACACACACACAGAGGTACACACAGAGCCACACATAGAAATATACACAGAGACACACACACACACACCCACAGACACAGGCAGACGCACGGAGACACACACACATACACACACAGAGACACCGTCTGCGACACACACTGGCACACAAACAGGCACACACACAGAGACGCACACAGAGACCCACATATAAACACAGACACATACAGACACGCACAGAGACACACAGACGCACACAGACACATTCACACAGCCACACCCACAGACACACGCAGACACACACAGACAGACACACATACACACAGGCACACACACAGGCACACACACAGGCACACACATAGACACATGCACACAGACACAGGCACACACAGCCACAGACACAGACACAGACACAGGCGCAGGCACAAACACACACAGGCACACACAACACAGAACACATAACACACAACACACAACACGCACCACACACCACACACCACGCACCACACAACACACAACACACGACACACAGCACACAACACACCGCACACAACCGACCGCACACAACAGACAACACACAGCACACAACCCACAACACACAGCACACAACACCTACCACAAATCATTCACCACACACCACACACACACGCATTCACACACGCACACGCACGCATGCACGCCCTCACAGAGAGACACAGAAGGGCACACACAGAGACACAAAACACACACAACCATCACAACACACACACACACACTCGCGCACACACACACACACGTACACACATGCACACACAAACGCACACTCACACACTCACGCACTCACACACACTCACACACTCACACACTCACACACTTACATACTCAAAGACATCACACACACACCACACACAGACACACGCACACACGCACAGACGCCACGCACACACACAACACACACAACACACACTGACATACACAGACATAGACACAGACACAGACGCAGACACATTATCAGACACATAACCAGACACCGACACAGACACATTCACGGAGACGGACACGGACACGGACACAGACGCAGACGCAGACATACAGACACAGACCAGACATAGACACAGACACAGACACAGACACAGACACAACACACACACACACACACTCACACTCACACGCACACGCACACGTCAACACGTCAATCCACATTGCGCAACTACACTCGCATACGGTACTCTCAAGCATATTCCACCTTGCTTGGCAACGGCGAGCGTGGCGAGAACCCAATATAATTTGCCTCAGGGAATCGTCCATGCGAAACTGTAGTTTCCCCCCCACCCCTGTTGGCACAGCGCAGGTCTCGCCCTGTGGAGGCACGGGCTGAAATGGTCTGGGCATTGTGAACATCGCGGTGGTTCTTGGCACGATGTGCCTGAGACCTGCATGCCTGAGACCTGCAGGGCATCTTGGACTCCAGAGCGACGCCCGCCGTGTGTTTTCCACAATGCCGAAGCAGCAGTTGTCTCTCTGCAAGCCATGGAGTCTGGCGCTCCCCACAGGAGGAGCTGTAGCAGGAGCATCTGGAGGACGAGGATCGGAGGAGGGCCATTTGAGACAACGGCGGCCCTCCCGCCCAGCCAAAATCCGCTGGAAATCGGCCCTTGACCCCCCCTGGGTCAGTCTGGACTCGGTGTTCGAGGCGGGCCCGGCCGTGGCGACACGAGAGGCGTCCAGGAGGCCCGGGAAGGGCGGAGAACGCCAGGGATGGCCGACGTGGTCTCGACCAGCCCTGCTCCGAGAGGAGGAAGCCGCTGGACGGCCAGCACTGTGCTGAGCTGGGGCTGCCCGCGGTGTGCTGAGCTGGGGCTGCCAGCGGCCAGCGGAGAGCGCAGGCGCACGCCAGCGCTACAGCTCCTGCCTGGCCGCGCTGTGCCTCTGCAGGATCTCCAGCAGCTTCTTAGCCTTGCCGGACTGCTGGAGCTCGGAGATCTGGGCCGATACCTCCTCGGAGCTCTTCTGGCCCCAGGTGCCGATGATCTTCTTGACCCTGCCGCCGCAGCCCTCGCCGGTCGCGTAGTCGCACTTCGGGTCGTTGGCGGGGTCTGTGGGGGGCCGGGCCCGGCCTGGCGGCGGCGGTTCCTCTCCATCGCGGGGCTGCGGCGGGTCTGGGCTCCTGAGGGTCACCGTCCTCTTCCCAGACCCCTGGCATCGTGATATGGTTACCACGCAAGCCCCGGGAGCCCTCCCATCCCCAAGGCCCCCCCTTCATCGCCGCGGGCATGCATTTCCCAGATCTCGGTTCTGGACGCGTCTGCTCCTTCCTCTTACCTTCCCTCTCCCCTCTCTCTCCATTTCCCCCCGCTCCCCTAGCAGTTTTCTCTTCGATCTCGGCTTCTCTCTCCTCTCGCTTCCCCGGGTGCTCGCCCTCGTTGGTGCTGCCAGGAGTGCAGTGTGCGCACCCTTCCTGGTAGCCTGGGTGCATTCGATCACCACGGGGGTTGTTAAGGGGATATGGTAATTAGAAATTGATGCTCAGGTGGGTCATATCTGCCATATCCTAGGTTATAAACGGGTTACAACATGCCTTAGGTAGCTTAGGGCGATTGCATCACCCCGCTCAGTGGGTTCCGCCCACTTTGCCCAGATCTGTACGCCCTGAGGCCACTTAGAACACTTGCCACCCACTTGTAAGCTAGACCCGGCCAGATAGAGCCTAGCACTTGGCATTTGTGTACGTCTGACGGGCCAGCACTAGCTCGAGGCCAGAAACGCACCACACTCGACGCCCACACTCGCCGAACACAGTCCATTCCATGCCGACACTCGCACTCCATACTCGCCTCTCACACTCGCGCCCACACTCTACGCCCACAGTCTACACACACTCTCGCACCCCACACTGCACGCCCACACTCGAACCCCACACTCACTTAGTGCGTCGAGTTGAGCCGCGCCCGACTCGAACCCCACACTCACTTAGGCGGGTGTGGGATTCGAGTCGGCTCGTGCCCACACTCCCGCGCCCACACTCACTCGACTAGTGCCGCCCCAAACTCGAACCCCACACTCACTGAGGTGGGCGTCCCTGACTTAGCGCGCCGAGTTGACCCGCGCCTCGCGTTCGTGTCGTGTGGGCGCAAGGCGTGAGGGGTGAGTGTGGGCGCGAGTGCGGGGTGCGAGTATGAAGTGCGAGTGTGGGCGCACAGTGCGGGGGGCGATCGCGGGGGCGAGTGCGGGGTGCGAGTGCGAGTGCGAGTGCGGAGTGCGAGTATGCAGTGCGCGTTTGGGCGCCGAGCGAGTGTGAGGGGCGGCCGTGCGCCCCGAAATGGCTGCTAGCTAGAGAGGCACGATCGCTGCCCCACGGACATACACAACTTAGCATCCACCCCTGGCCCCCGCATCCCGCATCCCTTTGGCAACCCCCGCGGCGATCCAGGTGGCGAGACGCGCGGATCCACGAGGCCTCGCCTCTCCTGGGTGCTGCTCTGCGCCCGAGAGCCGTCCCCGCCCCCTTGCGCCCCTCCAGGCGGAGGGGGCCCGGCGGAGCGGTGACCCACGCAGACCCTGCCCGCCCGGGGCGCCGCCACGCGTGCTGCTGTCGCCCCTTCCCTGCGCCCCCAGGCGGCCCAGCGGAGACCCTGAGATCCTGGCGCTGCACTGTTTTCACGACGGGCGTTTTCGCCCCACTTCGGGCCCCGGGACCCTCACAGATCCATCCGGCTCGAAAAATGGCGCAGAAAGATGTGGTCCGGGGCTCTGGTCGTGAATTTTTGCGATGTTGCAACTTTTCGCAACGTCGGATCTCAACGGTGGTGGGCCCCTCGCCCCCTCCTGGGTGCCGCCGGGCGTTCAGCCGCCGCCTCTGTCCTGCGCCCCTGGGGGGGCGTCCTGCGGAGGGGAGGCGCTCGCAGATCCAAGCAGACCTCGGCTGCCCTGGGGGGTGCCGTAGGTGCAGCTGTCGCCACTTTCCTGCGCCGGGGGGGTCCTGCGGAGTGGTGACGCGCGCAGAGCCAAGCAGACCTCGTCTGCCAGGGGGTGGGGCCACGCGCGGAGTCGTCGCCCCCCCCCCCCCTGGGCCCCTTCGGGCTCCAACGGAGAAGTGCGCCACGCGGCCCCGAACCAGAACTCGCCCGCCCCGCGGGTGCCGCCACGCGCCTTGGGTGGGCTGGCTCGCGCTCCCCAGAAGTCAGTGTCCTGGGCCTCGATCGTCGATGTCCTGACCTGGCCAGAATCTCGAGCCGGATTCAGCTGTGGCCGCGAGGACGCCGGAGGATTTCTGCAAAACTCTCTCTGGAAACGTTGGAACCAGCTTCCTGAGCGATCTTCGAGACGCCTGGAGGTCTCGGTCCTCCATACTGAACATTTGATTTTGGGGTCCCAAGTCGACCAGTGGTCCTGTCCAGAAGCGCGTTCTGATTATAGTTTCCCAGCCGTGGCGACGACAGGCCTCACAGAAGCCTCACCAGAGGCCGCAGAGGCGGCTTGGATGGCCTACGGGGGCCAAGGAACACGAGGGCAGGTCCCCGTGATCTTCGAGTGGCTCTGTCACGCCGACGAGGAGATCCTCGACCACCGGTTCAGGGGTGGGGCGCCCCTTACGCCTAGTTCAACTAGGCCACGTGCGCGCTCATCCAGAAATGCATGCACGTTGTAACGGCTACGGTCTGGAATCTTTGCATAGCGTGTCGCTGCGGCGGCCCCAGCGACACGCTATGTCGTATGAGCGGATATCGTGCTGCTCCGCTCCGCGGGGCGGGAGGCCTCGAAAGGCTCGGACCGTTGACGCTCGGGGACCGGGACGTGGATAGCGTGTCGCGCAGAAGCCAGGTGGGCCAAAGCCGGCGCCGCGGCACGCCAAGCCAAAGTTCCTCACCGTAGGCCACGTGCGTGCAGCACATGAGGGCACCCTCCCCGAACAGGCCTCGATCGTATACCTCGGTCCGGCTGTAAGCCACAGTTCCTGACCCTAGGCCACGTGCGCGCTCATCCAGCAGTGCGCGCACGTTGTCAACTACGACCCTGACCTCTCCGCCGCGAGAGAGGCCCCCGCCCTGCGTGGGCCTCGGCCTTCTGGCCGCCCTGGGCGGCCTCTGGACGCGCGCGGCGGCGGCGGCGAGGCCCCCGCGACGCTCTCCGGGACACTTTTGGGGGGCCCGCGGTGGCAGCTGGGGGGCCCGTTGGGGCTCCTCTGTGGCCACCTTCCTGCGATCTTCGGGCTTCCCAAGGGGGGTCCGAACAGATTGGGCCGGGAGGATCGGACCGCACCACCGACGCATCGGCTGCGTCGGCGGTGCATCGGAGCCATCGGCGTGAAGGAACTCGGGCCTCGCAGCGAACCTTCTCGCCGAGGCATCGGCGATGCGGCGCGATCCTCTGGCAGCACCTGCTCGGACTCCTTTTGAGAGGCCTGGGTTGTTGCCCCCCGATGCCGAACTACGGGGCCCCCCAAACCGCGCGGCCACTGCGGAACCACTGCGACCTCACCGCACGGACCGTCACCACACGGTTTTGGGGACCCTGGAGGCCCCAGTCGCCGAGACGTCCTCGGAGAACGACCCCGGTCCCAAGACCGTGCGGCGACCCCGCGTCCCCACCGGCTCACCACACGGTGTGGCCGCCGCACCGCTCCCAGACCCCCGCACGGCGCGGGCCCCCAGAGGCCCAGGCCCCCTCCCAGGGACCGGCTCTGCGTCCTCGGCCGTTCTCTGACGGCCCCGTGGCCCGGCCTGGGGGGCCCACGGGGGCCGAAAGCGGCGAAGCCGAGGGCCCCCAGGGCATCCGCGTCTGGCCGTTTTTTTGTTCGTGGCCCGAGGGGATCCGCATTGGCGCCTGCGCCAACGGATCTGGACCGTCGTGATTTTCTCGTGGCCCGAGATCTGTTTGGGGGGAGTTTTTTTCTGTTGGGGGGGCGGGAGGGGGGGGGGCGAAGGGATCTGGGTCTGGGGGCCCCCGAAGGGCGCTCTCCAGAAGTCCCGGGGGGGGCGGCGGCGAGGCCCATGGGGCTCCTCTGCGGGCCTTTCCTCGAGCAGCGCTTCTCGGGAACAGCTCCTTTGCGGATCCTTGTTTGCATCATTTTACTCGTCGTTTGCAGACGTCCAGGCGGAGGTTCCCTTGCATTTGCAGGTAATGTACTTCCTCCTTTCCTCTTCTTCAGTCATCGCCATCGGCATCGTCCACGCCGTCGCCATCACTAGCACAAGTGCCATCAATATCAGCATCGCCATTTCCATGACTACCGACGACGACGACGCGGACACCGACTGGGCGTCTGCCTTTGCAGGACCTGGGGCCTCTGGGCAACGAGTCGGCAACGGGCGGCGCCCTGGCGAAACCTCCACGGACCCCCAAAGTGGGCGGCAACGATCGAGGAAGAAAGCACGGCGTAAACAGAAACTTCTGGAGGTCCGCGCGGATTTCTTGGATCTGCGCTGGAAGCTCCTCCATGCCGCGGAGCGCGCCAGGGCCTTCGCCGGAGGCGCCGCCAGGGTGGCCCAGCGCAGATCCAAGAAATCCGCGCGGAGCGTCGAGCGTTTACGTAAATTGGGAGACCAAACGGGACCGATGCCGCTACTCCCCGGACCTCTCCCGGGGTGCGTTCTGACAAGGATTTCGAGGCGAATCCAGCGGTGGCGACGAGGGCCGCCCAGAAGGCCGACAAACAAGAAAATGGGCGAAGGGGCAGAGGTACGTATGGGCACCTTTTCTTCCTGTGAGTTAAAGCCGTTTTTCTTCTACGAAGCGAGGCGGCAACGAGGCGGCGACGCGACGAAACCTCCGCGGCAGCGGGCTCCTCTGCGGGCCTCGGCCCTTGCCCGACCTGGGCGGCCGCGGCGCGCCGCAGCCAGGAGGCTGCAGCAGCAGGAGCGCGGCCACCAGCGCCGCCGCGACGCCCGCCCAGGGGGCCATTGCGGGACGAGGGGGGAGGGGAGGGGGGCGAGGAGGAGGAGGAGGAGGAGGAGGAGGAGGAGGAGGAGGAGGAGGAGGAGGAGGAGGGAGGGAGGCCGACGTCTCCCGCCCTCGTCGACGACGACGACGATGACGACGGCGACGACGACGACGACGGCCTGACGACGACGACGACGACGGCGACGACGACGGCGACGACGACGGGGACGACGACGACGACGACGACGACGACGACGACGACGACGACGACGACGACGACGACGACGACGACGACGACGACGACGACGACGACGAGGGCCACGAGGGCGACGCGGGCGACGAGGGCGGCGACGACGACGGCCCGACGACGACGACTACGACGGTGCCAGGCGGGCAGTGAAGCGTGGCCTCGCCTCCTGCCCCCCTCGACGACGGCGACGGGGGGCAGGAGGCGAGGCCACGCCCTGTCCCAGCACGACGCCCTACCCGACGTTCTACCCCAGCCAGGCGCCGTACCTGACGCCCCATCCCAGCCCGACGCCCAACCCGACGCCCAAACCCAGCACGACGACATACCCGACGTTCCACCCCAGCACGACGCAGTACCCGACGCCCCATCCCAGCCCGACGCCCTACCCGACGCCCAACCCCAGCCCGACGCCATCCCCGACGCCGCACCCCAGCCCGACGCCATCCCCGACGCCCCACCCCAGCCCGACGCCGCACCCGACGCCCCACTCCAGCCCGACGCCCAACCACAGCAACTGCAGCTGGACGCCGCACCTCATGCCCCAGCCCAGCCCGACGCCGTACCTCCTGCCCAACCCCAGCCCGACGCCGCACCCGACTCTTCATCCAGTCACAGTCTGGCTGGGCTCCACGCCCGGGGACCACACCGGCAGCGCTGCAGCGCCACCCGCATGCGCTCCTGGCCCGAGCTGGACGACTTCGTGGACTCAGGGATTCGAAACTCAAAGGGGGGTCACTCACTCGGCCCCCCCCGTTACCCCAGGACCCGTAGGCCTCGAGCAGGCCTCAGACCGCTCTGTCAGGGGCAATTCCACCCTGCCCCCTTCTCCTGCTGGCTTTTCCCCTCCTTTGCCTTCCTCCTCCTCCTCTTCCTCCTACCCGTTCTCTCCTCCCCTGCCCCCGTCTCGCCCGTCCCCGCACCAGCATGTCTGGACCGCGGGGCACGGTAGTGGGTTTATCTTTTCTCCCTCTAGGGCTGCCCCGCCTGAGGAGCCCGCACGCCCCTCGCCTGCGCCGCGCGCCGTGCTGCCGCTGCACGCGGAGGAGTCCTCGCCTGGGCTGCCGCCGAACCCGCCGCGGACCCGAGCGACAATGTCCTCGACCAGCGTGGCATCTTCGGGCGTGGCTTCGAACGAGTCCTGCCTGGACAGGCTCGTCCACTGGCTCCAGACCGGCTTCTCCATGGACTGCCTCGGCAGTGCCGGCGCGCACCTCGACGCCTTGATGATGACGGTGCACGACTTCGCGAGGAACACAGGGGCGGCCTTCGGCGCCCTGCAGTGGTCGATCGATTTGTCGGTCGAGCTCAACGCCTCGGCCGCTTCTTCGTCTGGGGCGCCTTCGGGGATTCGGGGAGGCATCCAATTCCATGCGGGGGCAACCGATCCTAATCCTCCTTTCCCCGGGTCCTCGTGGGTCCTGGTCTCCCAGGAGGGCGCAGACGGCTCCTGCATGGCGATCGCCTGTGTCTTGCCATTCTCTGCCTGCTACCCTTTCTCTCCGCCCACCCTGCTCCCGCCCCCTATGTGTCTTGGCCCTCCCAGCCCCCCATCGGGTCTGTCATCGCAGACCCGTGCGAGGGCACCAGGGACGCCGCAACTCCTGGGACATTGCAGTGGTCCCCCCTGGCAATTGCCCCCGGGGGGTCGACGGTCATCGCGAGGACTTCGCGCTGGGGAGGGGCACCTATCCTACTACAGACCCCCATGGGGTCACGGGACCCAGACCCTACGAGCCGCCGCGCTCGTGACCTTTCCCCTGAACCCTTCCGGCACCTTCCCCTTTCCGGGACGGTCCATTTGTCCCCTGCTAGGTTCTGATCCCTCCGAAGGTTCCCTGCAGGACCGCGCCGCCTCGCTGCCGAGGTGGATCGACGTCCTCCGGATGGCGGGGGACCTCGGCACCCCCTTCGACCTTCAGATCGCGACGGGGTGCATCCCGGAGCTGTTCGACTTCCCGCCGGGGCTACGGCTGGGCACCCGCACCTACGACGGCGGCCCGCCAGGGCAGCGCACATGCGCAGCCGAATTGTATTTCCTTGAACATCTGCGCAGTTGCGCCTCCTCGGCTTCGGGGGCCCGCTCGACTTCTTCGAGTCCGTCGAGTGGGTCTCCAATGTATGCGCCGTGGCCTCGCGCCACAGCTGGAATGGATCGGGCGCTCGACTTCCTGTGCGACTTCCTCGTGCTCCTACCTCCGGTGATCGCGTCTTTCCCATGCCAGGGCCTCCTATGGCTAACGAGCGCCGCGGGCTCCTACGTCTTGCACGCGTTGCTGGCGCCGCTCCTCACAGGCGCCACGCCGCCGCAGATGATCCTCCTGGCCGCGTGCCTGGCGGCCTCGCCGATGGAGTTCGTGGTCCTGGGAGCGGCGGTGCGCGGTTCGCCTTCCCAGCGAACGCTGGCTGGCGCGTGCGCCTCGGCGCTCATCTCGAAGATCCACTTTGCCCGGCCAGTGTGCATCGCGGTAACGTTGGCCTCCACGCTGGCCCTGAGCCCCATTACATATTCCGAATCGTGCCCTTCTTGGACGATGGGGGCTCACGCAGTGCTGATCGCCAGAGCCATCGTAACCCCCGCCTTCCCGGCAGGAGGCTCCAACGACGCGGTCGTCTGCAGCACGTGCCTCTTCGAGCGGCAGCGGTGCGCATGCCGCCGTGGAGCTGCGATCCCGCGGCAAGACGTTGCAATACGCAATACCTTCTTGGAGACTGGCCGGGGCCAAGGTTCCCCAGGGCGCCAATTGCGACGCAACCGTACTGAGGGCGACGAGCCAGATCCGCAGTTCGCACTCCGGATGGAAGGGCTGCGTATCGACGCAGAGGAACAGGATATGAACGTCGACGCAGGTATCCCGCTGGACGAGCAGCAGCGCCGCCTGGAGCGAACAGATGCTCGGGAAGACGCAGCGCCGCCCCAAACCGCTCCGCCAGCAGCCGAAAGCCCGCCGCCGCACCAACGCCCAGCAGCCGCCGCAGCAGCGCCGCCACCCACCCGACGGCCCCGAATTCGCCCGGCGCGTGCGCCCGCGCACACGGGTCTTCTGCCCTGTTCCTGGGCGCCTCCGCGCAGACCCGGCGACGACTGCAGGGTGGGCCGACCACCAGTCCATGCGGCAACATCTGAATGAACACGCTGCCGGGCGTTTCCCCGGTCTCCCCCCAGTCCCCCAGGAGTACTTGGACGAGCACCGTCTGGGCCAGTGTTCGGTGTGCCAGCGCTTCCTGGCCACGCGCTTCAATGGCATCTGCCCCCGCTGCCGCCCCGCCGCCCGGGCGGCCGCCGCTGGAGCCGCCCTGGCCGCCGACGACGCCGCGCCGTGACCGCCGGAGCTACCCTCACTGCAGGATGTGTTCGCCACGCGCGCGGGCACCAAACGGTACGTGCCCAAAGGCGCCCGGTCGTTGCGGGCGCGGTGCCTGGCCCAAGCGACGGCGCTGGCCACGCGCGCCAACAACGAGGCCGCCTGGGTCCAGCTTGCCATGCTGCCCAAGTGCGTGCTCCGACCACACGCCCGCGGCGGCCGCGGCAGCAGGAACGCCGCTGAGGCGGAGACGAAGGAGCTTTGCACACGGTGGCTGGAGGGCGAGCGCGCAACGCTTTGGGCCGAGACAACAGAGCGCCGCGAGACGAAGCGGCAGCGTTCCCAGGACTCCGAGGCAGAACAGCGCGCCCAGAAGTGCTTAGAGCTTGCGGCCGACGCGCAGTACTCGAAGAGCTGCGCAGCTCTCGTGAGCGAGCCGCCCGTCGACGTGACCCTGGAGGTCGTCGAGCAGATGCGCCGCAAGCACCCTCGCAGCCGCCAGGCGGTGGACCTCTCCAGCCTGCCCCCGGTGCACGCCGCGGCGGCCCTGCAAGTGGACGCGGCGTCTGTGGAACGGGAGGTGCGCGCCTTCCCCCGCGGGCCTGCGGCGGGGCCGACTGGTCTGCGACCCCAGCGCCTCAAGGACGCCCTGCTGACGACGGCCCACAGGGACGAAGTCCTGGAACAGCTCCACAGCCTAACCAACTTGCTCGCCAGGGGTCAGGCCCCCCCCGCCGCAGCGAAGTTCTTCGCGGGCGCTTCGCTGGCGGCCCCCCCGAAGAAAGACGGCGGTCTGCGGCCAGTCGCCGTCGGGGAGACGCTGCGCCGCTTGGTGGGTACATGCCTCTGCAGCGAGGTCTCGGACGCAGCGCGCGCGCGGCTAGCGCCGCTGCAGCTCGGGGTGGCGGTGCCCGGGGGCACGGAGGTAGCAGTCCACGTCGCGCGGCAGTGGTGGAGCCGAAACCAGGGCGACCGCCAGAAGGTCTTCGTGAAGCTAGACCTTCCGAGCGCCTTCAACACAGTTGACAGGCAGGCTGTCCTGCGAGCCGTTCACGAGGATTTCCCTGGTCTGGCTCCTTTCGTGGACTGGTGTTACGGCGCCCCGACGCTGCTCTTCTTGGGGAAGAAAGACTTGCGCTCCGAACGCGGTGCCCCACAAGGGAACCCGCTCGGCCCGCTGCTTTTTGCGCTCGCCCTGCAGCGCTGCGCAGAACAGGCGCGCGCCGAACCAGCCGGCCCAGCCGACGGCTCCCTGGGCCTGGCTTTCTTCTACCTGGGCGACGGCTGCCTGGCAGGGGACGCGCCCGCAGTCGCCCGCCTCTTACACCGCCTGGTGGGGCGCTTGGCCGCGGTGGGCCTGGACCTCAGCACCAGACCCGGCAAGTGCGAGGTGGTGCCCACCAGCGGTGCCGACAGCAACGTGGACTTGGCCGCGTTTCCGCGGGGCTTCCGCCTCCGAGAAGACAACAGCTTCGAACTCTTGGGCGCCCCTGTGGGAGACGACCGTGTCTGCGAGA